TGCAGCAGCACAGATTTGTGTAACTTGATCTCTGAAAAGCTCAGAGAACTGTCTTCTCACTGACCCCCAGAGAGCACAGAAGAATTCCTGTGTGTCCCATGAGAAGCTGGGCAGAGGATTTTGTGAAGATAAGTGTCAGAGGGACCAAAGTGCTTCCTGGTCACTCAGTGAGGAAATGCAATCGATGCCTTTGGTAGCCACTCAAAGAGAGCTACTTGATGTCTGGTTAAAGGGCTGCTCTGTCTTCCTGTGCCATCATGACTGCATTTATCAGACACTTCATGGCAGACAGGCCCATGGCATGGTGTTGGTTTTGAAATCAGCCTTTTCCTGGAAATGTCATGCATGCTTTTAGACAAAGGCAACGGAGTGCTCCTGTGCAGAAGAGTTCAGGCAGCGCATCTGGCCCAGCTTGCTGTGTGATCCCTGAGCACTCATGTTGTGCACCAGCATTCACTCCTTTCCTGGATGCATTTTTTTAAGTGGTGTGGTCTGCCCTGTGTGTGATTGAAGGCATCTTTTGCAGAGACCACACTCTCAAAACCACCACCATTTCATTCTCTCTGCACTTGAGCTCTGCAAGTCTAAATGTCACTGAAGAAGAAACGCGACCTATGGCTGGAGTGACTGAGAGACAGGCCCCTGCTCTACTTTTTGCTACAAGTTCATAGTGGTCCATTATGACTTAGAGTTTGTGAAATCTCCAGATCATCTCTTTGTGCCTGTAGATAAAACCTCTCAGGAGAAAGGACTATTTTCTGCTGTAAAAACAGATTGACACAGATTAAGGACACTGTAATTTTAAGCAAAGTGGTTGACTTAGCTAAACCTAAGGTGAGGTCTTGGGGAAGGGGCTGCTAGGTCTGTGACCTTAAAAACAAGATTCTGCTGCAGCTCCTGATGTAGATTCTTATGCTGCACAGTGCAGATATGCATCTGCCCCAAAATAGAAAGTTTTGTTGAAGCAAAATCTGTGCCTTGTACAAAAAGAAATGCTGCTTTTGCAAAAGTTATTCATGCTCTTTCCCCAAATTTTTGAGGTCTTGTCTGGTTTTTTTTGGTCTGGCTACCAGCTCTGCTCCTAAGAATAAAAATAATAACAATGACATCCATGTCTTTTGGAGAATGAGGAGTAAGAGAATATTAGCAAATTGTAATTGTTTGTGTCTCAGCTTTGCCCAGATACAAATTCTTGATGACAAATAAGTGCTGTCAATCTCTTCAAAGACTGTCTTTTAGGAAACTCTGGCAACCTCTGTGAAACAGTTTTTTTCCATAGTCATACTAACTACATAGTTATTACAATATAGCAGTAATGTTTTTGTTGGTAAAGGAAGTGGCTGTGGCTCTCTGTTGTCAGTAAATAACTTGATTTTAAGGTAGCTAGGGGTTTATATTTCTTAAGACTTTTCAGCAACACTTAAAAAAAGAAAAGTGAGTTTATAAAACACTCTTTTGTCTAAGACATAAAATTCTTTACTTCAAATCATGATGAGACTTGGGCATTTCCCAAGTAAATATTTAAGATTTCCTTCAGCTAGACTTGCTAGATTCATGTTGCATGCCCTGACAGTACATCCTTGCACATAGCTAAGTATCCTCATTTACAATGTGTCAGTCAGAAATGCAGTATACTGGGATTAGGGGATGAGTGCAAGATCCAGCACTTCCTGTTTTGCTCATTTTGCATCTGTGGGATGGTCATGCATAAATACGGGTATGAAAAACAACTAAGTCATAAACCCAGAATGGGATTTTATGAGTAGGTGACTGATAGGATTCACAGTAAAATGCTGCCTTGATATTACTGTGATAATTCTTTTTGTGACAGACTCTTCTTCCCGTTAACTGCTATCTCAATGCCTTCCCTCTGTTTCTTCTGCCTTCCTGGAATGACTACTGCATCTTCCCTGTGTCTTGACTTCTTCCTTACAACCCTTTTTGCATGCTTAAGTTATGGCTTCCCCTTTGAGCGGTTCCTTCTGCTAACCAAGCCCCATTCCTCTAGCCCAGCTTTGCTTCAGAAGTCTCTCTGCAAAAGTATTTACTACTCTGAATTGTGTATAGTATCCAGCACATGCTGACAATGGAGACTAAAAATACTAATTTGGAAACCAGAAAAAAGAACTGTAAGCAGGTTTGTTCTTTATCCTATAATCTTGATGTTTTAGGAGACACAGTTGGCTACTGGCTAGAATATTTCACTGGGTTAATCAGTTCACCTAACTAGAGTAGGTTGTTCACCTAACCAGAGGGATCTGTCTGGGCTCATGTTTCCTGATCATTAAAAAAACCCTGAAAAGTAGTTAACAAAGATCTCTGAAGAAAAAATGTTTTTAAAAAAGTTCTATATTATTTTGAGCACATTTTATATAAATGCAATATTTCTAGAAACCTGCAATCTGCTATACAAATTCTGTTGCTCTGCTTGAGACCAGCAGTCATGCATTTTTTAAAAGAAAGTCTCACCATAGAAAAGATGATTAAACTCCTGTCACTGTTTCATGCTGAGTTTCAGGTCACAGCTTTCTGTGTTTTAAGAGGCAAAGATTTTATTAAAGTGAGTTTCAGTTAATTTGCATAGTCCTATAAAGTAGTAATAACTGTAAGGCTGTGGCAAATGGAGGTAAAATGCTAAGTTATGCTGTGTGTAAACAGGATCCAATGAGTCAGTGTCTAAAATGCAGCACTAGTTTTTCTGTAGTCATCCTGTGAGAGGCATAAGTACTCTTAAATAATTCAACATTCAAGCAACTGTTTTGTTTTGAAGTAACTGCTTTTAAATCCATATTTCTGTCATTACACATCATTTTCAGAGACAAAATCAGGGAAACATACTCCGTTATGTTTTTTACTCAGATCAATCACTAGAGATTTATTTCTTTCCTCATCTGGATCCTCTGCTCAAGTCTTTTAGTGATATTGTCCTTTAAAACTGCATTTTGCCAGGATAATTTTTAAAGATGAGTACGCTTGCAGGATTCCACTAGTATGTTTTACTTCAGACATCATTCTACCTACGTAGCTGCTAAATGTTAAAAAAAATAGAGGCAAAGATAACTTACCATGTATCTTATGGTGCAGGTGATGTCTTGTATTATTTCAACACGAGTAATGCTAAAATGACTTGTCCGTTGTGAGGATTGATTGTCTGATTTTCTACAGTCTGTCACAAGACAAAGGTCAAAAACACCTCTTCCTGTGTGAAGAAGGACGTATCAATTTGAAAACTTCTAGCAAAGAAATATGTTCTCATTAAAAAAAAAAAAAAAAAAAAAGAAGGAGCAGTTCTCTGGTTCTCTTTTTTCTAAAAATGGATTATCAGATGTTACTTTTCTAGCTCTTGAGACGTGCAGATATGTTGAAATTCTAGAGGATCCTCCTAAGAGTTGAAGTTTCACAACCCACAGTCTTAGTTTCAGAAAAAGATTTAATATATTATTTTATCTTTTTCTTTTAGCTAACCTGTTTGAATCAAGAACAGTTTACATGCAGTTAATCCCTTTACATTTTTAGTCATTACATTTCTTTTATGTTTTTCTGTCCTTTAACCAAATATGGAGACTTTGAATAAAGTTTATATTTCTATTCAGAATTACCTGCACACCTCCTGTTGTCTTGCTCTAAGTTGTAGTCCGTATATTTCAGGATAGTTGATCGATCCTATTTTTCTTTCACCTGATCTTCTTCACTGTGTTTGTGTTCTTTTAATCCCTCTCAGAAGACTATGACTTAGTCTGTGTAGTGAGTCTGACCTTTTAAAACAGCACAGTTACTTACGTTTTGGAATTAAGCTTTAGAAAAGCTTGATAAGAGATCAGTTTTTATCAGTTTCCTTCCTCATAGCTGATTCCTCTGACTTTTAGCGTTAAGCGTGAAGCTGTACTGTGGGCAGATCTCTAGGCCCTTCCTGGACACCAAAGGAATGACACAGGAGGTAGAAAAAATACAGAAAGCAAGAAAGGGATGGTGCCTTACAAATTCCAGAGAACCCCTTAGAGAGAACCCCTGAGAAGATACCTGGTAAAGTACAACCCCCTGCCTCACCTTGACATCTCTTGGTAGGGTTCTGGAGGATTTCCCATCAGTGAAGGCCCTAAAGAGATGCCTTTTCTGCCCTCAGTCCTTGGTATTCTTAAAAGATTTTAAAACACGAAAAGCACAGTGATGTGTTTCTTTGGATGCTGCCATTCCTTAACAGAAGTCAAGGGAATCACAACTTCTGAGTTATCCCTCAGATCTGTGGGAAGACAGTAAAGAGTGAAAAGCTCACTCTCTTTTCCTTGTCAGCCCTACTGTGCATGAGGGACTAATCTTTATTCCATAGTACATATGGATTTTTCTCTTCCTTTCCTAATCAGCTGTTCCAATGATCTCTTTAAAGGCAGGAGTCTCAGGGTCAAAATTAAAGGTCCCTTAAGGGTATTCTAAGGGTATGTTCACCCCAACATGCTTGATGGACTGACTATATTAGACCCCCTACACAGTCAGTGGAAATAGCTGCTTCTAATACTGTTTCCACTACACTTAAAACCAGTTCCTGATGACTGCCTAACTTTCCTGGATAAAAAATTTCTGCTTTCATACTGAATTCTTATAATTCTGAAACAAATTATTGTGTCAAATTGCTTTTTCAATATATAATTTCTAAACAATCTATATACTAAAATTAATAGATATTTTAAGTATCTCTCCATCTCTGCATTGGTTGCTTATGTTACATGTTACTTAATCCACTGGAGGCTCTAAACCCTTTTATAATTTGACATTATAGGAGCAGGGGAAAAACAGTCTCAAACCTGTTGCTGGACTTGACTGTTTTTCATCAAGCTTTATAATTCTGAATATGCTCCTGCAAAACTTGCCCACGACGTTTAGACTAACAATAACAACAACTATCATTACTACTTAAAACTAAGACCTGTGGTAGGCTGGTCTTCAGAAATTTTGTTCCCACAGATTCATTTGGAATGACAGTGAAACACAGATTACTGTGTTTGATTTTGTTGATTATAGCTTTTAGTTCCCATAGCTCAGTCTGGTCAGCAGGCACAGTGTGGCATGTTATTTACTGATGAAGAGTATTGCAGACCAACAGAGGGCCTCTGCCACCCACGGTTATAACAGCTGAATAAGGGGAAGGCACTCTGTCTGCTCACCAGCTGCATGTTACAGCTGGATGAGATATTCCCCAGAGACAGTGTGAATTGCTGTGGCACTTGGCAGCCCAAGTACTGGGTTATATGACTTTATTGTCAGTATCTGCAGGATGTCTACAATTAGCTCTACCCCAGCTACACATAAGCATAGCTGCTGGGAGGCCAGATTTGGTCAGGTCTTGCATGTGGCTGTAGGCAAGCCAATCCCTTTGGTGCTCTTTGTGGGGCACCGGCTGATGTGCTGTTCATCAGTGCTGTTAGGATAAGGTCTTTCCTGCAGGAATTGATCTCCCATCCAGTCTGAAATTTCAGCAGACTAATCTGGGACTGACCATCTTAATGCTGTCTCACCTCCTCTTCCCTGCTCTCTCCATCTTGTGTGTGTGAACACAGGTATGGACAATGCCATTGTTGCAATGTTGTTGCAAGTCAGATTTCTTTCAGCTTTTCTCAATCCCTTGTCAAGCATTTCTTTGACTAAGTGCACTGCTTCTTGTTGTGAACGTCAGTGGATTTTAAG